CACTTATTTCTGGCTGAATGTTTGAGACGAGGCGTTTTTATACAGTGTTTTTTTTCTTCCTTATTATACAGTGCTTTTTAATATCATTCTCATGTTTTTATCATGTCGTTTCGGCTCTGGACAAGAGAGTTATGAGGAATACAGCGAAAGAGTGTAGAGTGGCAGTTTAAGAAGGAAAAAATGACAGGTACAATTACAGAGATATAAGTCCGGTTTGTTACTTCAGCCACTGAACGATGTAAAGAGATTCCGTTTAAAATTCTCCAGAGGAAAAAAATATGGGACAACCTTAAGAAGATCGGAGAATACAGAGTCCAAAACATGGTGATAAAAACAACAAAGATGACGATGCTAGACAAAAGGAGTCCTGTAAAATTACTGAAGTCCATTCTTTACATATACAACATACACCGTTGTTCAGTGGATCAGTAATTACTTCATACTATAATTGCATTTTAATCTCTTCTTATTCGCTTGTAACACTATTATATCTGTGTGCGTATGAGTTATATATATATATATATATTTTTATTAAAGACATTTTTTTAACTGCTCATGGAAGATTGAAGTTTATAAGCAGTAAATTCGACCTTGTCTACCGAAAGGTTCTTTGTAGCCCAGAGGTAAGGCACGTCAGCGTATAGGATGCAGGTTCGAATCCTGTCAAAGAACGAATATTTTCTATGAAAATTTCTCGGACATTCAGGCCGGTAAATGTTATTTAATACTGTTTATCATAAACAGAGCATTTGCTTAAATACTTGTATCTATAAATAACAACGTTAAACATAAAAAAAAATGTCTTTAATAAATAAATTGTCGGACCTTGTCCATTTCTTAATATATATATAAGTGATTGGGTGTACGCCAGATATTTGAGAACATACCTTTAGCGGAGTCATAAATGTATGGCGATCAAATGTTAACATTCTTACTTCTCTTCCCAACGTAAGGAGAACTTTAACATGGTAGCTTCTAATCTGACACAAAATGAAAAGGCACACTGCTTCTAGTGGTAAAAAACCGCCAAATGCCAGTAATTCGGGGATAGCCAGTTTCTTGAAAGTGTCCTTAAGTGAACAAAAGGAACATTATCTCCCTCCGTGCTCACAGTAATGTACTCCAAGTTCCTGACGTTACATGACGCCACTCAAATATCGTCAGGGTTCGATAAATCTATTGAATTCATTAGATGTATATTTATAAATATGATATCTGCTAATGAATTCAATAGGTTTATCTAACTCTGACGAACGGTATGTCTACGAAACTTGAAGTCGGTCTTAATATAAGTGTTTTTAAACTATTCCTTATCATGAATATTGTTGTTCTATTTTTCTATTGAGAACTTTCTTTACAAGAATCTGCTCGACTTTAAACTCGTTAAATTTTAGTTAGTAACTTACATGTTTTTGTTAGGCGTAATAAATTAGTATATATATATATATATATATATATATATATAAGTAGCGCAGTGCTGGTGGTTATAAAACAGTGCTCGATGTATAATAACACAGCTAACATTTATACTAATAATAAATATAAATTTTATTTTTCATCGTTTCATCCGAGTTCCAGGTACGAGGCTATCGTAAAGCGCGGTTTGAAAACTATCCCTGTCTGACGATTGCCTCGTGCATGAAAATCAAAGATGTGCTAAACAGTATGGAACAAAATTCATATTTATGTGTGTGTATGTATATGTGCGTGTGAATATATAACTTTTTTTTTATTTCTCCACCACTACCGCAGCCATATCTCCGATATACGTTATAACGCATCGCTAAAAAGAAACATCATATACTTATTAGCAGTGCCGTTAAATTCTTGTATTTATTTTCCCCACAAAAATCTTTTAATCCTTTCAGCCATCTTCCTTACGTACCGTGTTCTATAATTTGGGCTATGTAAAAAGGGAGGTAACTGTTAAGCTTCTAAGATATATATGATATATATAGCAACACACATGTTAATTTGAGATCGTCACTGATGTCCTTCAAGAATTCAGCGATTGCACGTCTTCTTTCCATGGAAGTTACTCACAAATTTATAACTGCAGACAGAGAATCAAGAATGCTATGAAAGTAAAAGCAAAACGTCATAGCCACGAAATAATTTATATAAAATATTTTTCTTTTAAGATTAGAAGGAAATGACAATTTTCAAATCGTCCATTTTGATACGGCGAGAAACAAGTGATAAATTCACATTTCCCACAGAATGAGAAAAATTAAGCGATGACAAAACAGTGAGAATAAGAAAACTTAAAATGTTAAGTCTGTAGCCTGTCACGGAACAATTAGATTAACTTTTAACTGAAGGAAATTTCACTGTAAATTGCTTGACTTTTCTGTTTAATATTCACCACTGAATTAAGTGCATTGACATGGAATAGGATTATGTTGAAAAATAAGTATTTGTTGTGTAAAATAAATATCTTGTACGTCGTTAAACTGCGGACTTACTGCATAGATACATGTAAGTTAATAAGTCTGTAACCTAATGTCGAAAAAATCTATTTTATACACAAATATTTATCTCTCAAAATAAACTGATTCTTTGTTAATGCACCTAATTAAACGCTTTTGAATAATCATAGATCGGACATCATACAGTGAGAAATTTTCAGATTAAATTGTATCAGGCAGCAAGAATTCACCCAAACATGTTTCGTTAGATTAAACCTACAGCATCCACCTGTTTAATTAGTTTTGTTATATTTTCCGAATAAAATATACAATGAAAATTGTAGATAAACTGTCCAAAGATCATGTTTTTATTCGAGTATTTTTAGTCATTATTAAGGGTTGGATGTTGTCAATATCATACATCACATGAAGTTTAGACAATTTATTCACATTTTTTATTCTAACTGATTCGAAAATTGAAAAAAAAAAAAGAATAAAAATTAAACAGACAGAGCTTGTCGGCTGGATCTGACAAAACGTATTTGCAGATGTAAGATGGAAAACGTCAAAAACCAGTTGGAATTTTATAATTTTTTGTATTTCCTTGCTGACGTTTCGCCTCATTCACGAGAGGAAATAAAACTTTTATACTTCCAACTTGTTTTCATCTTAATTTGTTCAGATATTTCAGATCAGTTACTTATCATTATATATATATATATATATATAATTATTTATTTAAAAATATGATTCCAACTCGCGACATAAGAGGTCTCATGTTTCAAAACAAGAGCCGAAAACTTCAATATAATTATTTGAATTAAATTGAGTTAAAGTAAGCTCTGTTCCATCTTCAAGCGAAATTTTTTTTTGAATCAATATATATATATATATATATATATATATATATAAATGTGTGTGTGTGTGTGTGTGAAGTGAAATCAAATATGGATTGATATATCCAATAGAATGATAGGATAAGGGACAAATAGGAAACGTTTATAAATTTAACATGTTTCGCTTTTATTTAAGCTTCATTCTTCCATAATTAATTTACAAAATTTCTGATGAAGCTTAAATGAAAGCGAAACTTGTTAAATTTATAAATGTTTGCTATTTGTTGCTTATCCTAACACACACACACTTATATGTATTTTTTTTTTCTTATGTTTCACACTCGGCCACAAGCAGAATAAGATTTTTTCATTATTTATAAAAATATAGATACACGCACGCACGCACACGTGTGTGTGTGTGTTTGTGAGTAGTAGTACGGATTTTTGCTGTTATCATATGTAAGCAGTATCCTGGCTCAATGATATGTACACCGAGGGAGATGATAAAAAATTAGTTTCAGTGGTAGTAATTTTCTCATGCTTAAATTCTGCAAATGTTTGGGTAAACACTTTGAAAATATTCATACATACCATATTAATACTATGTGGATATATATGTGTATACATATAGATCAACACGTATTTAAGCGACACGCGCATTTGTATATACATACATAAACGCAGTTATTATATAAATGTACACACGCAACAACGTCCATACAAATGCATAGTTACCGTAAATGTTAGATTTAGCTCCCGGAGTGCTTATCTAAATTTTTTTTTAAAGAAAGCATAGCATAGTTTGATTAAATTAGCGTCTTGCCTTGTAACTTCTAGATCCAAATAAACGGCCTTTTCTTTTATCAAATATATTCGTTTCGTCGTCCCGGGGTGCTTATTCGAGAAGGACGCTTATTTAAAATTCCTTACGGAAAGAGAGGGGCGCTTATTCGAGTGGGCGCGCTAAATCGAGCATTTACGGTATTCTGTTAATGTATATGAACGTACACATATATTTGGGAAACATGTATTTTAAGTGTGGGCAAAGGTTTTCAGCGCAAAATCAGTTTTCAGCTGTGTATTGCCTCTATGCATTTTTTGTTTTATTTTTAAGTGAGCTGGGAACTTTTATACACACCTAATGTATCAGGGGTGGTTTCACCATCACACGAGAGACATGCTGGTCTTTGACATTTAATAGCCGCTTCTTGGAAACCTGTTGCCAGAGTTTCTCATTGTCTGGGTTGGACTGAGTTGGGTTGGTTGGTTGGAGTTTACGATATATCAACCCTTGTTGGGTTATTATCATGTCTGGTGTTTTATAAGCTACTTTCTGACTTCATATGTCTTATTGGTTTGCTTCGACCAAATATTTTATCAATACAAATAAGTATTAAATATTTTATCAATACAAATAAGTATTAAATATTTTATCAATACAAATAAGTATTAAATATTTTATCAATACAAATAAGTATTAAAGATACAGTTTTTACTCTCTTTTATTTGGATTTTTAGATTTGGTGTTGTAAGTGTAAAATGTAAAGTTTCCTTTTTCTTAGTCAAGATTCTGAGCATATTTTTTTCAGTTTTATAAGTTACATGAAATTTATGTAACAAAATATCTCTGTAATAGAAAATGTCATATCATTGGCTATAAAACATTTGTCATCGCATGTGGTTTGCACGTTAAACAATTTTGCCCACTTCTTATATATATGTTTGTGTGTGTGTGTGCGCGTGTGTGGATATGATATCACGTATGACTGCATCCTATTTCTTTCAAATTGGTCTTTCCATCGACTTTTGTTAATGACGTCCGATTTGGGCTTTCTCCGGCGATTTCGAGAGCCAGTTCGTCGGCAGTGGCCACAATGGCCTGGTTTGAATGAAAGGTCAGTTGTGGTGGGTCCATGGAGAACAGTTTGAACTCAGGTAGAAATGTCAGCAAGTAAGCCACATTGAGGATTGCAAGAAGCCATTCTGATATGGTGGCCACTAAATGTTCAGCATAGCCCTGAAACGATATAAAAAACAATAACAATCTTGGCTAGAGAAAAACAAAACAATTTTCTTATAGCATTTACTAAGCTTAGCGATACATTCGATTACTACAGTGTACCAAACTAGTTCGTTATCTATTATAACGTGGCAAGGTACGCAAACAATCGTAATAATTTTACGGTCTTTACCTTAGTCGAGATAAATGAATAACAGTAATAAAATGGATGGAGGGGTAGATGGATATTTACTACAGACGGTCGTTGTTCTAGTCTTTGGGTATTTTTCAGTATTTTTTCGTCACTACCGAATGTGATACAAGGTCGAAGTTTAAAGCGGGTTTAATGTCAATACCGTGGAAAAATTGCTCATTCTCCAACTTAAGTTTAAGATAAACAAATATTTCACACTTCGAAAATTGGTTCAAGACAAAATGCTTGTACCCAGCTAATTTAAATATCAACAAGTAGCCTGCTTTGCGGTTGCAATAATTACGTATGTTCCACTGAAAACCAGCAGTTGATGTTCGAACCCAGTTTAAAGCTAGTATTCTGAATGCTGATTTTCAAGGTTGATAAACTTAGGAAAATTGGAGCAGCAGTCTTTCTACTCTAATTTCCTCCATTTTGCCTTGTGTTGTAGTTGAGCTAAAATTAAAAAAGCGCCTCCCCTTCTGGAGGGATTGGCAGGAGGAGGAGAAGGATTTTCCCCGCGGTTGTAATATCTGTTCCCTTCCGGGGGCCTTCCCCCACCTCACCGTTGCGGAACACCTGTTCCGTAGCGGTAATATAACCGGCTATGATTTGTTTAGAAAAGCCCTGACGAGCTTAGACAAGCTATGACCAGCTAAAACCAGCTTAGACCAGCGGACCGAGTGGAAACACTCGGGTCCCCACATTAAAAACCGACCTTGTGTTACAACCTGACTCAGTGGGAGGTTAAGGTAAATCTCGAGTAAAGATTAGAAAATCTTAATACTTTAACAATTTAGTTGGATAACTGTAAAGAATATGAATAAACAAATTAAAAGGAGATTGCTTAGTGGCGGAGACAGTTGCAAATTTCGTATCGATGTGCGAGTCTAGTGTTTCAGCCCAGAATAAAGTCGGATTCTGAACGCTGATTTTTCAAGCATGGAGTCTTTCACCACTTCAAAGATTTGCGCAACACAATCTTCCTACCGCAAATCATGAAGATTTTCATCATGTCATATTTTTGCTTTTGT